AGGACAAAATGGCAGAAAATTACAGAAAGGATGTGCAAGAAAGCATTATCTCAAAATACCGTGTGAATAACACCATACTATCAAAAATGCATACAACAGATCAAAACAAACTCAAACAAATATCTAAGCTTACAGAATTCTCTTGGGAAAACATTGTAAGCATGCAGAAAAAATACTCCTTTTTCCGATCACTGAAAAACTCAGATAGTACATCTAAAGTTTATTCAGATTTGTCTATTCCAACATTTCGTGAATTTGCATTGTATGTTAGTGACCAGATCTTGACCTGTGGCTTCCTAGTAAATTCAGCATGTCTTGAAGCAGTTGATGTCCACTGGCAACCTTTCTTCAATCGCTGTGCTCCGTGTGACATTAAATATAAAGCTATTGTAAAAGTAAGTATATGTATCAGTCTCTCCTTTTATAAAATAAAGGATTAGAAATCATGAGTGAGAAAAGGACAGGAAAGGAAGAAAAAAAGAAAGAGAGAGAGAGAGAGAGAGGAGAGAGAGAGAGAGAAGAGAGAGAGAGGAGAGAGAGAGAGAGAGAGAGAGAGAGAGAGAGAGGAGAGAGAGAGGAGAGAGAGAGAGAGGAGAGTGAGTGAGTGAGTGAGTGTGAGTGAGTGAGTGAGTGAGTGAGTGAGTGAGTGAGTGAGTGAGTGAGAGTGAGTGAGAGTGAGTGAGTATACATAATCTGTGCCTCATAAAAGATATCGCTTTTCTGAAATTCCAGGTTGAAACATTCTCTGAAGACCAGCAACACATCCAGCAGTTAATGGGAATCCCAGACCCTCCCCAGTCCCCTGAAAACTGCACCATAAACAAACACACCAGCTCTGGCCCTTCTACCGACAGCCTGACAAAGCTGTATTTTTCCCAGATGACTCCCTGGGAAAGAATGAGGGTTTACCTCGCCTATTACTATGATTTTCAGTTATTTGGTTATTCTCCAGATGACATCGTATTGCTATGAATGCAATATTTTCCTCTAGCATCAAGGAACTGGCATTTAGATGGAATGCGTGTCATGAGTACTTTGGAACTTTGTACCTGAATTTAAAAAATAAACAGTTCAAATTACTGGATTTTGTTTAATCACATAAGCTTTCAATGGAAAATTACAACCTTCATTTCCATTTCATATCTTCTTACTCAAGTAACCCTCATTACAAAAGAAATTACTAGCTCCAAGTACCTATCACCATTAACCCTTATCATCCATTCAAAAAAAATGAAAATTGTAGGTGAATAAGAGTCTGTCATGGTATACTTTCATCAACGTAGTCTGTATTTCTTGTAATGCATTCTTCATTTTAAATACAACACCCAGTGCATTTAAATATCTCAGTATAATAGACAGCAATATTTTGAAAAAGTATCATCCATCCGAGCACAGATTGCAAAAATAGACTGATGAAGGTAAACTAAAAATCACACTTGAAGAATAAAGAACTTGAAACAATTATATACGGTATATAAAAATTAACAATGTTTATATCTCCCACACACAGCAAAAATATCCCTCCCTTGCAATTCATATAAATATTTTACTTTTACTTGAAACAAAATATATAATTACTAAATGTAAATTAGTCTATCCATATATAGCACTCAATCTTTAGTTCTGAACTTCCCCTTCAGGTTTGCGGTTGAACGTCGAACCTTCCTTCTCTCTGCTTGATGTTCTCTCTGCTGCTGTCGTAATCGCTCAAACTTAGGTTCCTTCTTAACTACGTAGCTCATTTCCCGACTGCCAAAGGTAAGCTGCTTGATGCTTTCTTGGTTGTCGCCTTCCATTTCCAGACGGTCAGCTAGGGTCATCCTGTGAATGAAATGGGGAAGTTTATTATCTACATCTAAATCTGATTTTGATATTAGCTAATGGAAAATGTGCATTACTATCTTCTGGGAACATAATCCGACATCAACCCAAAGAGATAGGTATTATTGTCTCTTAAAGCACAATTGGACATTTCAGACTAAAATACACTACTGCTAATAGAAAGAGTCCTTACTTGCTCAATTTCTTTTTGCTGGCTTTCAGGTCCGCCAGAGAGTCAGCTGCGGTGAAACTCAAGTCCTTGCCTTCTGTTTTCTTCTTTTCATCCTCTTTAGCAGGAGGCTTATTGACCTTCTTCTTCTGATATCTTTCCCTTTGCTTCTTTGAATTTCTTATCTCTATGGGTTTGACCTGAAAAGCATACTTCATGAATCATAGATCATCAATGCTTGACAAGTTCAATTACACAGGCTTCTTCACAGAGGTACATTTCTTCCTTCATTCTAACTGCCATATAAACATAAGCATAATAAAATAAGTTATAATAAAATACAAAGAAAAGAATAAGCTCTTTAATCATTTAAAAATACATAAAGCACGCAAAAAACATATATCAATTAAGTGGGAGAGTCACATGAAAACAATATACTAACTAACCATGTTAACTTAAACTCTAATAACAAATATTAGCCTATGAGCATACAAACTCATTACCCTCACT